TGCTGTACTGTCAAATAGCGCACCCTTGTGGTTTATTTTGTATCCCAAACAACAAAAATTAAATGAAAGTGCGTCTAAAATTCATATACTTAGAACCAATTTGGTCATAAATATTTTTCTTCCAAGTTATCTTGTCCTCAACATGCTATCACCTTCAATCACTAAAAATAGTGACATTTTACATTTTCGAATTCAAAACTAAATTGTTAAAATTGATAAAAATGTTTATTGTGAGAATGACCATCTTTGATTTTAAATTTAATATAAGCAAGCAGTAAAATAAGTATGAGTCACTCATAAATTCATGTTTTGCTAAATTTCCTGAATATCTGCACATGGCTATATAAACCAGGTTTTAACTATTTTAAAATTTATTATTATTTTTTAAAGACAGGGTCTCACCCTGTCACCCAGACCAGAGTGCAGTGGTAAGATCAGAACTCACTGAAGCTTTGAATTCCTGAGCTCAAGTGATCCTCCTGCCTCAGCCTCCTGAGTAGCTGGGACTACAGGGACACATCACCATGCCTAGCTGATTTATTTTATTATTTTACTTTTTTGTAGAGACAGGGGTCTTACTCTGTTGCCAGGCTGGTCTTGAACTTTTAAGTGATCTTCCTACCTCGGCTTCCCAAAGTGCTGGGGTTACAGACATGAGCCACCATGCCTGGCCTATAAATAATTTTAATTCAAGAATCAATTATATTTATATGCATTATGCCATGTATAGTATAGTTTAGTTGGACCTTAAGTTTTCAATATAACCTTATCTAAATTCTGGCTTTTCTATAAAAACTTAAGAGAAATACTGCTAAGAATTACATGGTCCAATTACCATAAAACTAAATGTAAGCAATCTTTACCTTATCCAACCAAGTACTCCTGAAAATTTACCGGATATATGAATGACATACTAAAAGTTAATTATCTAAGTGTGACACATTCTCATTGTACATACTACACCTGGCTATGAAAGCAATGATTAATGTTTACTTATCAATTCTCTTGAACACCTACCATGTTACAAAATTTTGCTGGAGAACACAATTCCTGCCCTCTTAGTGGGGAAAAGAAAAAGGTAAAATTTAAGAATCCTTCAAGTTTTATGCCATAATACAACCCTAATGTTTATCTTTAGAGGAGGAGGTAAATAAATCATGTTATACCTATCAACGTAATATTATGTAATCCTTCAAAAAGGGGAAGCCCTTTATGAACTTCTAAGAATATCCAGAATATATAATTCAGTACCAAAAAGTAAAGTGTAACATGCATGCAGCATATGGCCACCTGAGGAAAAAAATAATATTTAGCATGAATATTGGTTTAAATATGCATACATCATCTCTGGAAAGAGACACAAGAAACTGTTAATAGTGGTTGCCTCTGGACAGCAGAACTTGGTTGGGGTCAGAGGAGGAGAATTTTTACCCTATTCCTCTTTTTATCTTTAGAATTATATAACATATACTACTTATACACATGCAAATTAAGAAAAAATGAAAAGGGATAAGAGAGGCAAATACAGAGACAGCAAAGATTATTTTATGCCAAAATCTTTAAAAAACTCTCCATGAATCTAGCAAAAGAATGGACATCCTTTGGATGGGTAAGTAGAAATGAAGAACATGGAAATGGGGCCATTCCATTCCAAAAAGGCAGAATGAAGGATTTTGCATCAGCAATAATAAGTCAAATCTTCTGGTTAGAGAGAGTATCCTGTCCTATCCTATAAATAATGAGGAATTAAAATGTTTAAAAGTAAAACTGTAATCATTCTGTAGAGGATCTTGAATGCCCAGAAAAATGACAGCAAGCTATGCAAAGTTTCTGAACTGAAAAGTGATAATTAAGAAATACAAATGTGGCAACCACATTGAGTACTTCAAAGACATGTTAAGTACTGGTTTTCTCTTTATACTCTGCCCTGGAGTTCTTTATAAAAGACATCAGCAGAGAGAATAAAAGACATCACGAAGGGAGACTGAATGAAGGACTGGTCTCTAATTAGATGTAAAGGGGGGGGGGGGAAACATCAAAGATGATCTTGAGCTTTTCAGTCTGGTAGAAAAACAATGATTTTGGTTTTAAATAAATCTTCCAGGTAGTGATGAGTCAATAGCAACTGTGAATTCAAACTGCAACTGGAAGAATATCGACATTGGAATTAGGAAGTGAATGTATAGTTTCCCAGGGCTGCCCTAACAAATTACTGACTGTGTGGCTAAAAACAACACAAATATATTCTTCCACAGTTCTGAAGCCCAGAAATCTGAAGTCAAGGTGCTGGCAGTCATGCTCCCTCTGAAGGCATTAGGGAGAACCCTCCCTTGCCTCTTCCAGGCTCTAGTGACTCCTGGTAATCTTTGGCTGTGGCAGCATAATGCCAATTTCTGTCTCTGTCTTCACATGACCTTTTTCTCTGTGTCTCTCTCTCCTTGTGTGTCTCTTCTTCTTATAAAGATATCAGTTACTGGATCTGGGCCTGCTAAAATCCAAGGATTTGTACTAAAGTTATGGATCTAGAGATCCTATCCTATACATAATCTAGAGATCCTTAACTTGAGTACATCTGCAAAAAATCTATTTCTAAATAGGTCACAATCACAGGTTTTGAAGGGGTTAGATCTCAGATGTACCTTTTGCAAGGAACACTATTCAAACCACTATAGTTGAGAACCATTAGCCCACAAACTCAAAAAAAAAGAGATGTCTTCTCTGAAAGAGTATAGTAAATATAGACCAAGACCATGGATTTAGCACCTCCAAATTTAGAAAATACATATAAGAAATAGTGACAAGAAAAAAAAAAAAAATAGAAAACGGCTCAAGACCAAGGAAGAGAAAGAAAAATCAAGACCAAGGGGGTAATTAATCACATCAAATATATCAAGAAGTTAGTTGCAGAGATACCTAGGAAGGTATGAATTTGTGTGTGTACTACAGCTTAATCACTAAGAATTTTTGTAATGAATAAATAAAAAATGGTTCTTCAGCTTCTCTAGGGAAAAATAAATAATTCTGGGTCCTCCTGAACAATACATCAAAGAACTACCCAGATGTCCAGATCAAAAGAAAAAATAATTAGAAAATTATACAAAGATGTGTACTTTGCCAAAGGCAACATACTAAAAAAAAAAGATTACTTAACACAGGGGCAGCAACTGGTCACAGAACAGAGGGAAAGAATCAAAAGAAACAGCTTTCAGTGAGGTCACTGGTAGCACAGCCCAGAATTTTAAGAAACAGACTATTAGAAAGACAACATAGACCTCTTGGGGAGCCAAGTACAAAGAAAGTTGACTGAACTAGATTGGATGAGGATGGCTGGAATAAAGATTTGTGAGCATGGGCTAAAGTGTGTGTGTGTGTGTGTGTGTGTGTGTGTGTGTGTGTATGTAAAAAGACAGGTGGCTACTCAAAGGTATGATAATTTATACTTTATATGACATAGTTTATGGTAATTATAAACATACAACAATCCTAAAAATGCTACTTTTTATTGTGAAGAAATTTAAAAGGATCACAAGCACAAAATAAAATCTTTGGGACCCTGACTTGACCCCTGCTTACCATGCTTAATTTCAATCTTTATTTCTTGCTCATGCCCAGGCATGCCATAGTCTTCACATTCCTGCATCTGTAAACAGGGTTCCGTTGCCTGACTAATGCACTCCCACACATATTTCAAGAGTAAACTCAAGAACCATCTCTTCTGTGAGGATTCACCCAACTCTCAAGCAGTTACCCTGCAAAACTTTGTCAGTATACAATTCTATCATTTGAAAAAAAAATTATCCTCCTGATTTACAAGATGAGATTTTATACCACAAACATTAAATTCGACAAGAAAGTCTTAATAGAAATAAGAAACTTAATCGATCATTTTCCAAGTACTGAGGTTAAGCATTTTAAAAATTCATTTATATCTCTTTGAGTTGCACAGATGATAGTCTATAAACTACATTTAGAAACTATGGTTAATATTTTTTAAGTCAAGGAAGCACAGAAATGTGTATCAGGTGCTTGCGAAGAGTTAATTTATGTTAGCATTGCATTTACTAAGCTCCCAAAGGAGAAACAAAATCTTTCAACTAGATACAAGAAAACTTCTCAGTGTCTCAAGTATCTCCAAATATAATCTGCTCTCAGAGTTACTTAAATCATTCCATCTGATTACCAGCAACAATATATACAGTCTCATCTTCAAATATATACCTAAAAATCCATTTATTTTTTATATGAATAAAGCAAGGAATTTGTGAATTGTTTAGTCATGAAAAGTAGTTTTGCAATGGATCTCCACAAAATGGCACACTCAGGGAAAATTTGAGATTAGAGGTGAATAATAATAAGAAACTTTTGAAAAAGGTACACCTAGAAAGTGTACCTTTGAAGATAAGGGTACATAAAGATAACTGTGATATATTCGATATAAAAAGGCTCATTTTCTTTTTTTTTAACTGTGGAGTAACTATGTACCAGGTAGATACCAGAATATTCCCTGGAGAATCTCAGTCAGGTCAAGAAGATACGTGTGGTTAGAAATTCATGAACACAACTCAAAGAGTGTGTTACTGTTTTAAAAAAGAATTATTCAAACATAAAGACCGTATTTTCATTTCTATTATATGCATTAAGCAAGAGCCCTTAGTTAGGCATTAGTAAACGAAGACTTTAGGTTTTTGGAGATATATATATATATATATATATATATATATATATTTTTTTTTTTTTTTGCTTGAATATGAAAGTTACTTAAAACTAACTTTTACTCTATACTGCATCGCAGACCTATATGTATATAGAGGATCTATTCCTAGTACCAATCTTAGTACGAGTTGTTCATCTTATTACATATTAGTAACTGTTACTAATTACCAACTGTTATAGGACTACTTCTTATTAGTCTACCTGGAAAAGATAAGTTAGGTAAGAGGAAAAATAAATGGTACCCTGCCTCATACTAAACAAACAAAACAGAAAACAAAACGACGCACCTTATCTGTCTCATCAACGCTCATGGATTTCACTATGCAAGAAGCAGGCCTCTCCTGGATGTGTGCAAGGTCCTGGGGGACACTCTGAGATGCTGGCATTGGGGGCAATGGAGCCCGCCTCTTCTTGGGTGCATCCGACGGCAGGGTGTTGGAAATATATGGTTTGGAAATGGTATTGGACCTTGTAAAAGTTGGGCGGTGCTTGTTTACTAGAGGGGTTGCAGGTGCACTTGCAGTCTGGTAAAGAATGATAAAGCCAAAATCTAGTAATTTCAAGATATTGGTAAAAAGCACTAGTCATTAAAAATATTTGAAGAATCTTACAAAATATAGTATAAGACAATACTTACTTGGTCCCGCTTTTTCTTACTGCGTTGAAAAAAACTGAAAAACCCTTTATTTTCTTTTTCCTTCATAATGTCTAGGTTTTGTGATATTGGGCAGGACTCTAAAATAGAAGAAAAGCATCTTACTTTTGTACCTGGGATTGACTGTTCACATCCAAGATTTTTCTCTTACTTCCTCTTTGCAAACGTACTTAATACTAAAAGCTACCAATTATAGTCTACAAACAAGGCACTCTGCTAAGCACCCTAAATTTTATTAAATTCTCAAAGCAATAAGCAAATATTGTTCCTATTTCACAGCAGAGGAAACTGAAGCTTAAAAAACTAAGATAAATAATCAAGGCGAACACTCAGGAAATGACAGAGCTACAACACGAACTTGATTTTTTTTTGACTCAGAGTCTATGTTTTATACAACATTTCAGAAGCAGAAGTAAAATAGAAATGACACTTAGAATTAAACAAGATATGAAATTCTACCACACAGTTTGTTCCTTTATTTTGATTATACTTTTGTCTCACAGCTAAACTACTCTGAAATATTTTATTCTACAAATGTGAGTCATTATAATTGCTCAGTACTTTGTTAAATGTTTCATAAAAGTTATTCAATAGGGTGGGTCTCAACTGGGGCCAATTTTGCCCCCCAGAGGACATTTGACCAAGTCTGGAGACTATTTGGGCTGCCACCATTGTCAACAGGGTTAGGAGACTGTGCTGCTGGCATTTACTGGGTAGAGGCCAGTGAGGATTCCAAACATAATACATTGCAAAAGACAGTCCCCAATGACAGAATTATCTTGTCCCAAATGTTAACAGTGCTGAAAATTAGGGAGTGGAATTTTAGTTAGAATGGCAAATGTCAAACCTCAAGGTTGTATACATAGTATTTATATACAATTCTCCAAAAAGCATCTCCTAATGTCAACTGAAAGGCCTTCATGCAATGATGCAGCCAGTTAGTGCTGAGGGCCCCCCCCCGACCCCTGCCCGGCCCAAATTGGCTCTAATTTCCATTTCCCATTAAATGAAACCATGACTACTTGAGAATGGTTGATTGATTCTCTGTTAGTATCAAGAAATATACAATACAATCTTGGAACATCTAGCCCTACTAGAGAGAATACTATCAAAGTCTACCAGGTTGTGTTAAAAGGACTCAGGAACCAACCTGAGATGGTTTCTACTGGTAAAAATAAAAATAAATTGGATGCCATAAAAGTAACTCAATAAACTGAAACATGTCACGTGTTTAATTTCATATATTTATAATGATCCTTTAAAAAAAAAAAAAAAAAAAAAGGCCGGTTCTGGTGGCTAACACCTGTAATCCCAGCACTTTGGGAGGCTGAGGCAGGTGGATCAGGAGGTCAGGAGATGGAGACCATCCTGGACAACATGGTGAAACCCCGCCTCTACTAAAAATATAAAAAAATAGTCAAGTGGTGGCAGGCACTTGTAGTCCCAGTTACACAGGAGGCGGAGGCAGGAAGATTGCTGGAACCTGGGAGGCAGAGTTTGCAGTAAGCAACACATCACTCCAGCCTGGCAACACAGTGAGACTCTGTCTCAAAAATAAGCAAATAAGGGCCGGGCACAGTGGCTCACATTTGTAATCCCAGCACCTTGGGAGGCTGAGGTGGGTGGATCATGAGATCAGGAGATTGAGACTATCCTGGCCAACATGGTGAAACCCCGTCTCTACTAAAACACAAAAAAATTAGCCAGGCATGGTGGCATGAACCTGTAGTCCCAGGTACTTGGGTGGCTGAGGCAGGTGAATTGCTTGAACCCAGTGGTGGAGGTTTCAGTGAGACAAGATCATGCCACTGCACTCCAGCTTGGCCAGAGTGAGAATCTGTCTCAAAACCAAAAAAACACAAGAGCCTATTTGTTCACCTTTGTGTTATGCTAGAGAACCAGTCCATTATTTTAAATGCTGATGAAAGGAAATAATCAAACTTTTATTTTACCTTTTCCTCTTTCGAGACAGAGTACACTGGAGAAATCTGGCTCATTGTAATCTCCGCCTTCTAGGTTTGAGCGATTCTCTTGCCTCAGCCTCCCAAGTAGCTGGGACTACAGGTGCATGCCACCCCGCTTAGCTAAGTTTTTTATTTTCAATAGAGATGGAGTTTTGCCAGGTTGACCAAACTCCTGGTCTCAGGTGATCCACCTGACTCGGCCTCCCAAAGTGTTGGGATTACAGCCATGAAACACCGTGCCTGGCCTATTCTACCTTTTTCTGATTGAATTAGATCTAGATAGCAGTCAAACAGCTGAGGTTAGGAGGTGTAATATTGTTTGCAATAGACTTTCATCACTTTTCAACTCTTAATTAAGATGCAGACAAAGATCACTGAAGGCTAACATCAGAAAAAATAACTTGTTACATTTGCTAATGGAAGTACACAGTAACATTTGTGACGTATTCTTGCCAAAACATCTCTCACCAAAATCCGATCAAGCCTCTAGATTTAACCATAAATTTATAGGAAATAGAGGGGAAATTTACACTGAAATAAAATTTCAATGACATTTACAATAAATTAAACATTAAGTGACACCACGGGAAGCAATCAGTACAAATCTGAATGCGGGAAGCTATAAAACAAATGACCTGGTTTCTTCAATAAATGAGTAGCAAATTTTTCTAAAAACCTGGAAAAACAATGAGTGGTGATCTGTAAAATTCAAAAAATATTTCTTCTACTAAGCAACATATGGATTCTATAGTAAATCACAATATAATTTCAATAACATTTGAAATAAAATATTGCATATTAAAATTTATGAGACATAACTAAAGAAAAACTAAGAGATAAATATGTAGTCTCAAATGCTTTTATTTAAAATACATGTCTAAAAAACCAAAATAAATTAAGGCAAAATAGGAGCTACTTCAGGAAAGCAAAGCTAGTTAACACCAAATAAATACAGTAATGCGAAATTCCTCAACACATTAAAGGAAAACTATTTTACAAAGTAAAATTTTTAAATCTGACAAAATATTAAATAAGCGGCATATATTCTGCACAATGAGTTTGAGAATGCTAGCAACTAACAATAATGAACATGTGGATAGTATTTTATGGTAAAAGTTTTTTTGCATGCCTAATACATTTCTTAGAATGACCTCATGAGGGAGGTATCAAAAGTTATCACTCTGAGCCCTTTTCCTTATTGGAAGATGCTAACGTTTACCCTGCAGGATATAAAAAAATGAAAGCAGTGGTATTACTCCATTACACTTTCAGGAACTGTAAGTCAACAGAGAATTTTAATAACTTGCACAAAGACAAACAGGCACTGAATGCTAGTTGGAATCCATTTAAAGATTTATTATTTATAATTTTTTTTAGATTTGCCACTATTTCATTTTAAGATGGAATACACCACTTATCACACACAGATACACAATTAAATTTAGTCAAAACAGTAGATGAAAAATTCCTGTGGTTGTGCAAATACAATAAGTATAACCAGAATATTTTATATGGTTTTTTTTTTTTTTTTTTTTGAGACAGGGTCTTACTCTGTCACCCAGACTGGAGTGCGTTGGCAAGATCATGGCTCACCACAGCCCTGACTTCCCTGGGCTTAGGTGATCCTCCTACCTTAGCCTCCTAAGTAGCTGGGACTACAAGCATGTGCCAACACACCTGGCTAATTTTTGTACTTTTTGTAGAGATGTGGTTTTGCCATGTTGCCCAGGCTGGTCTCAAATTCCTAGGCTCAAGCAATCTTCCCACCTTTGCCTCCCAAAGTGTTGGAATGATAGGCATGAGACACCGTGCCTAGCCCATATTGTTATTTTTGGTGAAGAACTTTCCAGGTACATGGTCATCTGGCACACAAGTTAGCCCTTAAGTCTTTGCTTAAAGCTCTATATCAGGGATCACAGCAAGTCAGGTTAAACACTAAGATAAGCAAAGGTTTGAACTTACTTAGAAAAGCAACTCAAATACTGTAGTTTCTTCTTTCTAGAGCAGGCTAAAATAACTACATGAAAAGCTTTAAGTTTTCAAATAATATCAGAAAAAATAAGGAGGTGAGGGCATTGACAGCATTTGGACTGACCTTGTGGATACTGATACTGTAAAGCTTTCTTAATTTTACTATCTCAATCCCTTAAGGTCTGTTCACAACATTTAATACTCTGAATAAACCACATCTTTCCATCACTGGAAGGGCTATTAAAAATCAATGCATTTGACACCCTCAAAATGAGTCCAGAAAGTTTATGGAATTTGCTTAGGATGATGTAGACTGAAAGTGGCAAAATTAGAAGTAAAAGTCAAGTACAAGTAACAAAATGCTGTTGCTTGTACTAGAAAGAACCACAGACACCACTATTTCTAATCTCTTTATTATTATTATAGAAGTAGATGAGATTTCAGTAACAAGTAATATATGCAGTTGGTTAAGGTTTGTTTTTTAGTAGGGTGATAATCATTAGGGTAATCATTTATTTGGGACTTTTTCTTAATGGGTGAATAAAGACTTCTACAATTTATTATTGGACAATTTTTAATACATTTTTTCTCTATGAAAGGAATGCATGCCCATTATATAATTATGTATTAAAAAAAAAGAAATGTGAAAAAATCATCTACCATAACCCTGTCACCCAAAGATAACCACTATTAAAATTTTTAATGTATTTCCTTTCAGCAATTTCATGTAAAAGTATTTTTTCACCTATTATATCAAAAACACTTATACAGTTAAAAAGCTAATTTCAACGTAAGTATTTTCCACATTATTACAAAATATTCACAAACAATGACTGTAAAATTTTATATGATGAATATAATACCTCATTATTCTGAATTACTGTTCAGTGAATAGTCTGAAATGCTTCCTTGGTACTACCAAACTATTATCATTTGTACCAAATAAAAATCCTAGCAAAATAATTTTTCCTTATATGACTAAAAATATGTTTTCCCACACTGTTAGAATAATGTAATTTTTAAACATTTGTTGAAATGAAATTATTATAATTAAATTTGGAAATCAAAAGGAAGGAAACTATACTTTTTTTAAGGAAATAAACTCAAATATTTTCTAGATTAAAATCTCTTAAAGAATAAACACGTTAGTGATGTTAAGAAAAGGTAAAATTAGAAGTTTATTTTCAATACATCCAATTTCATGTTATAATTTGTTTCTACTGATTCTTATGTCTTACCTTGTAAAGATGACTTACTGAAGACAGTAACAGAAGTGGCTACAGAAGGAGGGGTATAAAAGAGGGTAAATTGACTGTGAAGATGATGTTTGTTCAAGTATAAAAAAGCACTGAGTTGAAAAAGTAGTCTATGGATTATATAAAGCCACAATCTTTTGAAGTCTTTATGCACAGAGTACGTAAATAATTGTCAGCTTCACTAAACTTTTATTTCTCCTAGTAAAACAGATTCATGTTGAATAAATGTTTGCATTGTCTACTAGACATCACACAAACTAGCATTATCTAAGATCTCCAAATGTTTATACATTACATCATTTCTATAGATTAAAACTGGAAGCTATTTCAAAAACGTTGGAATTTTTGGATTCATTTCATAAGCTAACATTTTGGTACTAACTTGGAAAAAATTTGGCAAGAAACTTCCAAACCTGAATGATAACTAAGACTCAGATAAAAATCATGAGTCTACAGTAATTCACATTTCATTAGAATAACAGTGAATTTACTTGTAAATTTTTAATTTCTGTTTAAGTTTCTAGGCCATGAAGAACTAAATTAAATCCTACAAAAAAGAATTTACAGATAGAAAGAAAAATAAAAAAATGTGGATAATGGCTAAAAAGACAAGTTTCAATTCCAAATAACTGAAATTAAGTTAAATGTTATATTTAATTTATATTTATTAACATTTTGCCTTCTTATTCCTAATGCCATGTAATTACTTCTATCTATAGGACTCATTAACTGCCATTATGAACTTGAGAAGACCTATATACAAACATAATGCACAAACATATACAAATAAACACATCCCATTAATAAATAAATCAAAAGTCTTACTTACCTCTGTTGACATCCATTGCATATAATTCTCTTAGTCCTAGGTCATCAAGAGATTTTGTCATGTCGAGGGGCTCCTGTGATTGATAATCTTTCAACAATAGAGTATGCAATGGATCAAATTCACATTTGCTACATATAATAGGGGCAAGCTCTTGAAGTGATGCATGTGGACTCACTCTCACTATGGTCTTCTGTGTTTTCTTAAAATTAACCACTACTCTTACAGTTTTCTGAAATACAGATTAAGGTAATAGTTATTCCATAATTTACTCAAACAAACATTCTACAATAATGAGACAATCTACAGTTACATATTCATACATAAACAGTACTTTCCTATTTTGGTGTGAAATTCTCTTTTTGATTAATCTTACCTCCTAAATCCAAAGCAAATTCTTAGAAACAAACAAATTAGTTTATTAAATAATCCAACCACTCTGTGGTAATATTTTAATTAGATTTTAAATGATCAAAGAACAAACTAGCCTCATATCTATCACAACTCATGCTTTCACTTTGTTCCTTAAAATATTTACTTTAAAATTAGCAAATATACATAGTACAAAATTATACACCTTTTATCCTATCCTTTGAGGAAAATTTATCTTTCAAATAATTTGTCTACTGCCTAAATTTTAAAAAGAAAGGCATTTTGGTTACATTACTAAAATTTTTGGGTTTTTTTGAAACATGATAAATCAGATAATCGGTATGAAAAGCTTAGCAGACTTTCTGGCACACAGTCACTTATCAATAAGAGAACATTAGCTGTTGTAGTTAGCTTTTGTTGTTGTTGTTGTTATTACTACTTTGGCTACTTTTAATATTTTAGCAAAGAATATTAAAATCTCTTCCTTAGATATCTAGTACTAATGATTTAAAGTTATTGGGAAGATTTTAAGCATGTCATCATTTTATATAATTGAATTAAAGCCTGCATGAAACTCAGTGACATGAGACCATACTAAGTGAAATCTACATTTTGCAGATCCTTATAGACATTTATTCATAAAACTAAAACCCTTTGTATAATCCCATGCTATATCATAAATATAATTATTTTCATCTAGAAAAATAGCATGGATATGTAATAAACACCTAGACAGAAACAAATACCTAGACAGAAAGCAGTCCAATATCCTAATATATATTAATAATATTTAATCATATTGTAGAAAGCAAGTATGTTTTAATATTTTCAAAACTCAACTTCTTTGAAAAAAGCTTCACAATATGAAGAAAATGCAAGAATATGTACATTTAAGACACATGTATTAATTGAATAGACAAATTTTCATATACAGTATGAAATGAAAATCATTAATGTTCATAATGAAAGAGTATTTCTTGAAACCCATAAAATTCAACCTTATTGCTTATATCAATAGAACAATTTTAATAGACTGATGATATTAGAATGGTTGTGGTTAAAATTTTTTGCATAAAATTTGTACTTTAGAGAAAATGGAGTTAATGTGTAGCACATATTAAGAGTTTAGATGTTAGTAAATTCAAACACAATGAAGAGTTGGAAAACAAAACACACACACACACACACGAATAGATATTAGAAAGTTACAACTGCTGCTTACCAAGTATACAGAAGCCAAAAAATTATTTAAAGAAATTCTTACATGAATTTTCATGAAGATTCTTAAACCTTCCTTTACATATAAAATACTTTTTAAAAAGAGTAGCTTAGGCGGACGCGGTGGCTCACGCTTTAATTCCAGCACTTTGGGAGGCCGAGGTAGGCAGATCAGGAGGTAAAGAGATCAGATCGAGACCATCATGGCCAACATGGTGAATCCACGTCTCTACTAAAAATACAATAATTAGCCAGGCGTGGTGGCACGTGCCTGTGGTCTCAGCAACTCGGGAGGCTGAGGTGGAAGAATCGCTTGAACCCAGGAGACAGAGGTTGCAGTGAGCTGAGAATGCACCACTGCACTCCAGCCTGGTGACAGAGCAAGACTCCATCTCAAAAAAAAAAAAAGAGTAGCTTAAAATACAAATCATTTATAATTGCTACATTCTTATGCAATCATAGTGATCATTTTAGAGCACTTAAATCTAAAAATTGCCCAAATTCTATTTAATCCAAGGCTCAATAACCAATTGAATCTTAAAGTGGCCTAGAAAAACATAATACCCATATTCATATCACATTTGATCAGGAAAGTCCATTTTTATTTCATTTATAATGAGCTGCTGATAATGACTGAAAAATCAACTTAATATTTTAGCCATAAGACATCAAAATCTACAGTGGAATTCTTACCTCCGGTATTATAGGTGTAGGTTTTCTCTTATCCAACATTTTTGGCTTTAAAATTACCTTCTCTACTTCCAACATTCCTATTGGTGTGTTTGGCTTAAATTTAATGTGATTCTGTTCAGCTGACAACAGATCAATTGTGTAACTTGATGGATTTAAGTGATACTGCGCACAAAGGAATATCAACAAGTCCATCATAGGTTTACTGCAAAACAAGAGTATTTGATTACCTGTTATTGGTTTGAGGATTTTCTTAGAATGTTTTTCTTCAATAGATAAACAAGGCTACAAACTAGTATTTGGGAAAGCAGCTTAAAAATTGAACTACAGGCTGAGGCAGGAGGACCGCTTGAGCCCAGGAGTTGGAGACCAGCCTGAGAAACATGGCAAGACCCTGTCTCTACAAAAAATAAAACAATAAGCCTGCTTTGCTAGTAGTGTGTCTGTAGTCCCACCTACTCAGGAGGTGGAGGCCAGCGAACAACTTGAGCCCTGGAGGCTGAGGTTGCAGTGAGCTGAGATCACACCACTGCACTCCAGCCAGGGCAACAGAGTAAGACCCTGTCTTGGTAATAGTAACAAAAATAACCTAAGTACAAAAAAAAAAAATTGAACTACAAGATACTTAAACAGACAAAATTATAATAGTTAAAAAGTCCTGGAATAGTCAAGAGAGCATGGATCCTAGCACTAGTTCCACAACTACTTTTATGTTTTTACCAAATTGTTTCCACATTATAAAGTTCAGGAGGAGGAGTCCTTTCCTTACCCAAGATCAGTCCTTCACAACACATTGTTTTATTGGCAGTCTTTAGCTTATGAATTGTTGTAATAATTCTAATAAGAATGAAGCATTTGGAACAACAACCACCACCTTTTTGGCTTTAGAATACAGACCTAAATATCTACATAGGAAGTCCACAAAATCCTAAAGGGTGTAGGACAAGTTCTTATATCATTCAAGATTATGAATATTCTGTAGGCACTGGAATCACAGTACTCCAATGTATGTCTGTCTGTTCTCGTAGATCTAATGCTCTACTGGACGGACTCAACCAAGTGTCAGCAAACAACAACGTGCAGGTCAAAGTGGGCCCACAGTCTGTTTTTGTAAATAAAGTTGTATTGGAAAATAGCCATGCACATTTGTTTACATAAGTGCTGAGGCTGCTTTTGTTAGTTACAACAGCAGAATGGAATAGGGTGACCCCACGTACTGTGTAGCCATAGCCCACAAAGCCTACTATTTTTACTCCCTGGCCCATGACAGAAAAAGTTTACCAGCTTTTAAACTAGAAAATAAAATAAACTAAATGCATGAGGTAATTTCAAATAATGAATGAATGTGAAATACTATTAGTGATACAGTACTTATTTCTATAGAAACTTTCATACCCAACTTAGGATTCAAGGATACTTACCAATTTTTTGCTTCCCTTTCCGTAGACTCTCATTGCTGATACAGACATATTTTCATTCATATCATTAACAGAACAACAGGGTCTCTGAGTCTTTCTTAATACTGTCAGCTCTTAAGGAAAGCAAACTAAAAATATTTGGTATCACGTGCTTATCCCAAATGTCATGCGATGCTAAGCTGCTAGTTCATCCTTAAGAATAAGACACTAAACCACAGTGTGAAAATCCTATTTTTATGGCTGGAGGTTATGTTCATGGGATTCACTTTAGGGTAATTGGGTAGTCTGCCATCTGCATCCCACCTCGAAAGGGAAATGCATGTATTAGTAAAAAGTGATTCTTCAATTTATTGACTAGAGATAGAAACCTGGCTACTGGCTTTCAGGAACTTGTCAGTGAAATGGGGTTAAAAATCGCACCATTCAGTATGCTACTTTTACTTTAGTGCACCTATTTTCAAATTGCACCTCACCCCCAGTGAGTTCCTAGGCCTGCAGCCTCTCTGATGCAGTTCTTCCAGACAAGAAGTCTCCTGCAGAGGTGAGGAAGGATTCGTTGTCTGACATTGTATGGTCTTGAAGTCAAACAACATATTACATAGATTTCAGATCATCCCGTGTTCAGCCCCAATTTCTACTCACTTTCTGTGGTCACTGCCTACTCCCAGTTCAGTCCAATCTCTACGAGATAAGGAGTATGTTTCTCAATGGTCCCTCATGCCTCCCTTATCCTCCCTCACATACAAGTAGCACCCCATTATTTGTATATATATTTAGAAAAATAAATCAAAGGCTTTAAGTCACTCAATGAAAAAAATAAACATTCCAATGAATATATTTCAGTTCTCAAAATACATTCCCTGTATCTTTATAGATGGTTGCATAATATTTAAGAGTTGAGCCTTAATTGTTCCTTAAGGAACATCCTTCCTTTGAGCCATAGGCTATGGCCATACATGTATCTATATTGCCCATGTTTTGCCTTTTAACAGTACATTTTAAATTTCATCCAGAGAGAGACTAGCAAAACAGTCTTGTGGAAGCTGATTTTTTGGTAATACGGTACTCTACAAAAGCAATTGGATGCCACATACCAATTCCAGACTCGGAAATAGTACCTTCTTTGATAGTAAATAAAGTTAAGAAAAATTAGGTAATGTCTAGTTAAATATAATTACAAATACCGTTTAGCTGGAGGAGGAGAGAACTTTCATTGCCAACTGAATGGATAGCTGTCTGTTGTTGTCTATGAGTAAATGATGATACATGCATACTGTATTTCTTTCTCTCCTTATACAAATGTATCAAGCAATAAATGTAAAAACATTAAAGCTTATTCTTCCAACATCTTTTACTTCTTATACAGTTTTTGGAATCTTTGCCAGAAATACACAATAAGTTAACAAGACAAAAAGTTATTAAAGTTTTGTTTTTATCCCTATTTTTGTGCCATAATTTTCATCCTTATGTATAAACATATGAACATTTAAGAAAATGTACATTTTCAATTTTTTCAAAAACTTAGAACAATTTGATACTTTGTGTAGAAATGTTGGTATTTCTATCTGTGATACATTTTGTAATCTAATAAATGGGGTGATAATTGGTCAAGAATATTAATATAATGGCCTATTCCCTCAGTCATTTTATTTTCTAGAAACTTTACAAACTGTATCAGATTTCATGAGAGAAACATTGCAGACTATATCATGACCTTTGAACTCAACACTGCCTATGTGTTTTCTACTAAAAATTCCTCTTTGAAAGGCAGCTGAAAACCACAGAACTTCTTTATGATTTTATTTTCTCATTCTATAATTCCAGGTTCAATTTTTTATTCAAAAATTACAGAAGCCAATTTTGCCTTGAAAATATTCCTATTCTCAGACAGATAAATGCAACAGGCCAGAAAGTTCTGCAATAGACATAATTACATATGGGAATTTAACACTGTATATGAATTTTTTTCTGGGAAACAACCAAATTTTCAAAAAGTGGTATTGGGAAAAGTGACTGTCGGATGAAAAAGAAAAGTTATGTATCTAACCTGATTTCTTACACTGAAGTAAGCTCCAGGCAGATCTTTATGCAGTCTTTGTTTTATAGCAATATGCCCAATGGATTTTTCTGCACTGAGGGAAGTGTTCTATATCTGCGCTGTCTAACACAGTGGCTACTGAGCTAGTGGACTCCCAAATCGAATTTTTAAGGTATTCAACTTAATTTAAATTAAATGTAAGTAGTCACATATAGTGAATGGCTACCATACTGGACAGAGTCATTCTATGACTCTGGTGCTCAAGGTGTGATACAGAGACCAGCAGCATCAGTATCTGCTGAGAACTTGTTAGAAATGCAAATTGTCAAGCCCCAGCCCAGATCATTAATCAGAAACTCTGGGAATGAGGAACAGCAATCTGTGCTTTGACAGGCACTCTGGCCTATTCTGATCATCCTGTAGTTTAAGAAGTTTATGAAATGCTGATCTAGAGCGAAGAGAATTAAGAAACAAGTAAAACATATAAAATATCAGATAGTGATACATGCTCTCATTAAAAAAAATAATAATAAAAGAAGTTAGAGATGTCCTAATTGATAAATGACATCAGAATAGAGACTTTGAAGGGACTGGGGTATCTGGGGAAAGATAGCTTTGACAAATAGAAAAACCCTGAGGCAGGAATGTGCTCTAAGCGCTTAAAGAAAAACAGAAACTAGTTGGCTAAGGTGGAAACAATAGGCATGACATCAGAGTGTTAACTTGTAGTATTTAAAGCCCTTTCAAGTGAAGACCTGAGATTTCACTGAGACAGAAAGTCTCCAAAGAGTTCTGAGGAGTGATGTGATCTATTCTGCTTTTTAAAAGGATTTCAGTCTGGTTTTTGTATTGAAAATAGCCTGGGGGAGCAGGTATAAGGTTACTGCAAAAATTTAGGTGGGAGATGGTGGTGGCCTAGACTAGTCAGATTCTGGATATATTTTGTAGGGAGCTGATAGGATTGAAGCCAATGCAGAAAGGAGACAAAGAGAGAAAGAGGAGCTAGCCAGTGGAAAGATGCCAGGATTGCAGGAACATTACAAAGTGGCAGGGTTGCTGAAAGCACCCAACCGGAGGCCTAAAATGCAAATTTCAATGGGTTGTAGGCGAGTGCTTACTGTAACTCACAAGCCATCACCAAGGTTCTGGTAGCCTTGGGAGGCATCAAATAAAGAAAAGGCAGGACATTCCAAAAGTAGAAACTGAAAAATAAGAATCCAGAGGTGGTGAGATATAAAGTCAGAGCCAGAGGTAGCCTCAAGAACATAAAACTCTTGGGAGTTTACAGTAAGATTTTAAAGGGGATTGAACTTTGCACAGGAGGTAGAACAGGGGTTCAGGCCAATCTTATTTAGATCTGGAGCAGCAGAGTGACCTCAAGAAGTTATCTGGGTTCTGTGTACATGGATGTGAGCTCCCCGCAGCAGGACCACAACTTAGTAATCTTTAGGCACCTAGTTAGGTCACTGTTGTCGAATGAGGAATTTAGAGGAAACAGTGATTAATTCTGCTTGAAAGTCAATGAGCTCAAATGCAAAGCAGAACCATACAACTGAACATGAGAAAGCACTCTTGTTGAAAGGAGATTCATAGGCTTTAGAAAAAGAACAATGTGGTGAAAGCTCTGTTGTTTTTTTTATAATGAACAAGCTTGTTTTGCCTAAGTCAGGCCATCTTTACACAAAGGTGAGACATAAGCATTAAAAGGTTAAGATCTTTTCCAAAAACAGCCTCAGACTAGTTTGAATG